CGGTTTTATAAACATCAAACATATTTGACTCTTTTAAGCACAGTTTTTTAAACTAATAGCGAAATACATCGACAATTCATTTAACAGAATTTAGTTAGATTTCACAATAACAGAGGTATGCACTCTCTAAAAATATTTCGTAATCATATGATTTGAAAATTACTTTGATGTTCAATTAAATGTTTCTTTCTGTAAAAAGAAGAGATCACTATATTACATAAATAGTTTTAGTGGTGAAGTTACAGAGAAATGATCAAAATTTACACTATGTGAACAAGAGTGAATATATGTAGTTTATTGACCAGATTTTTTTTTCATTTTTGTTTCTATTCTAAAGATAAGGTAAGTGTGTATACATTGAACAGTTTTAATTGTAAAGACGCGTCTATATACGAAGAGAGAGAAAGAGCGAGAGAAAGAAAAATATCAATGATTAAAAGAAAAATAGTTGTTAGACCATATCAGGGTATTGTGTGAGTATGTTTACTGATCTTTTTGCTACTATCGTAATCCAGATGAAAGAAAATGATATCGTATTCAGGAAGCCTACAACATAATATTGATTGTTGATAAAGTAAGTGTATGCGTTTGATTCAATAATAGTGTCAAGATATTAACTTATACGTGTTTAATAGCAAACTATAAACAACATTGAATTAAAATTTCCATTATTTCTAATGAACTGAGTGAGATTATACTATTAAAAACGTGAAACTCGGAAGTAAGTTATTCAGAGTATTTTTAATCTAATTTGTAAACTCTTTAGTAAGATATTTTTCCTTGTTGATAAAAATACTAGAGTGATAGATATTTTTTACTTATATTATCATAAAATAGCGCTACCTACATAATTAAAGATTAGTTTGTCATTGAAACATATCTCTTGTAACATTGTATTCTACTTTATTACTAATTGATTTCATTTCTTTTTTGTCTTCTCCCTCTGTTTTTGGTATTAAACTATCATGATAATGAAATTTTTTTTTTCTATATATTAAAAACACGGATATACGCTATGACATTAAATATTTTCAAATATCCTCATTACTTTATTTTACGCAGTGTAATATAATGGAAAAATTTGACATTAATTACACGAATGAACAATAGGTTTATTGTGTTCGATATCTCTCTCTCTCTCTTTGTTAGAGAGCAAAAACGAGAGTTGTGATGTATTTAAGAACATACGGTTTATAGAATTACAATGGATATGTATTTTATTTTTATTTTGTTTCCTGTTTAGATATACTTAAATAAAATCAGATATTTAGCTAAGATCGATCCTATTCTCATCGTTTTTTTTTCTATCAGTTCAAGTGTTCTCATAATATATACTCAGAACTTCTATATCCAGGAAAATTCCTTCGATATCACTGTTGAGTAATAAATAATTCTTAAAAAATGTGATAAATACATACGTCAGTATAGGTGTTATTTTCTATCTTACACGTATACCAGAGTATTTAAATTCCCATTACGAAAAACACAAAATTCTTGAAATCACCTTTAACACCTTTTCATAACACAAGTTAAACAATCACTACCTATTTTGTCACCTTCTTGTCTATTATATAACCATAATAGGTGTTAAAATATAATCAATAATCACAATATCTCATACGATGAAGTATAGCACAACGTGTTTTAAGGTGAACACTATCTACAGGAGATCGATCAAAATTAATTTTTTCTTTTTTTTTTCGTTTTTTTCGTTAGGTCTATTTATACATACTGTAATAAGAAGAGAAAAAATGTTTGTAAATAATTTGATGAACATGTTTTGCCTCAAAGGAGATTTTGTGTATTTGTTTGTTTGCATGCCATTGAATCATTGAAGAGATATTTGGTAGACATTGCTTCGAGCTGTAAAAGATGACAAAAAAAAAGAAAGAAAAAATTTTCTTCGTTTTCATTTTTCATATAATTAGTTGGTTTATGGCTTTAAGGCAGAAATCCATGTCACAAATAGTTTGTGTCATTAGTGCTATTATCATTTCTTACTCATTGTATGTGTGTGTGTGTGTGTGTGTGTGTGTGTGTGTGTGTGTGTGTGTAGAAGAAGAAAAAAGATGTTACAGGAAGTTTCTGTATCGGAATTTTATCTAAATTAATTGTTGTTATCATTTTATTCTTTAAAAATTCGTTGGGTTTTTGTTTCTTTATTTATTTTTTTTGTAATGACTAATTTACACATAATGGTAAGTGTCAAAGCCACATATGAACATTCATCTCTCGAGAAAATGGTTAACTATACAACTCAATTTTTGACAATGCCCTATCATTGATGTTCATCTACATGTTCTCTATCACATATCAAGTGTAAATTGTTCAATATACAGTGTTATTCTATTGTTTTGACAACATTAGTCATTTTTCTTCAATAGTTAGCTTAATTCAATAGTCTGCTTAGTTAAAGAGTCATTTTAAAAGATGAAAAATGTCTCTGTACGATCAATAATTGATATTTTCTTCAAACTTTGTGCGAGACGAATCGATTAGTCATAACTAGTTTTTGCCTGTTGATCTTTAATTCCATTTTTCTGTTTTGAACTTGATTCGATTGGTAAGATAAACGTAGGGTAATGATTGAGAGAGATGGTATAATGTGGTGAATTACAGTGAAAAACCACTATAGGTTAGTTTGTAACCTTATCAAAATGTGGCACTTGTATGTCAACGCAATAGTAGCAAGATTAGAAATAAATAGTTTGAATTAATGACAGTTCTCACCTGAAAAAATAATAACAGACATTCTCAAACTACTATAAGTGACAATTTTTGTTGTCATTTCATTTTATCCGCTATGTGCATATAAAACGTTTAATCTAATCTTTTTATTAAACACCTGGATAATAATGATTTTTTTTTTCTTTTTCGTTTTGTTCTCCTTTCTCTCTAAAATAACGAAGACTTTCCACTTTTCATTATTACTTTGTAGAAATAGATAATTAAGAAATGACATTTTTAGTCTCTAATGCGTGTGCCGCCGCATCAGCGTTTATGTAATCTTTAGAATGGGGAATCATAATTTAATGAATTCTGTTACTGTTCGTTTATTTCTAACACGTAACATAAAATAATATAAAAGATAGTCTCTCTATCTTACTCATTCTAGTCTCTCTCATTTTCCATTTATTTTCTCACCATGAAACAAAAATTAATGATATGGAATGTCATTCACAACTAGCACCAGAAGTCAGTAATGCTATTCTAGTCTATAGAATATAAAATTAATATGTAAAAGAAATTATATTTCACTGTTAATAATTTTTCTATAGTTGAATGATCGTATAAATATTAATTTTCTCTTTTTCTCTTTTTACCTGAACATTCTAATTGTACAATAAGACGATATTTTATATTTCAACATCATCGTATCTTTGTTAAATGTTCATACATACCTAAATTGTCATCAAAAATCGATTTGTCTCTAACATTATAAATCTCACACCTTCTAAAAAAAGAACGAAATGAGAGACGAATACAATGTAAAAAAATAAAGACCAACGAGAAAAATCTCAATACAATTTGTCATGAAGTAGATAGATATAAATCCTAAACTATTGCGAGACATTGTACAATCAAATACATATTAGATAGAGGTATGTATATATAGTTCAACATTGATATTTTTAAAGATTATCAGATATACAGTATAATGGTTAAAAATACATTTGCAACCGTAAATCTGTTACTCTTTTGTGCTGCCTCTAAATTTTTTAAGTATTTTGCATAGAGATTTATTTAAAATACTCGCTGCATGCGTATAGTTAGTCAAATTCAATTAGAAGATAAACATTCTTAAATAACGATCCAAGAATGTCCTTGCTCATATTGACATGATGTATCATCGCGGGCTTAGTTATATCTTCTACTGTTAGAGATGATCTTTCTTAAAACGAAATCTTCACAGAGTTACTCTGTTGATTCTCTACGTTACAAAATTCTTTTTTTATTTTCGTGCACTCAGTCGTCTGCTAAAGATTTCAGTTTTATAATTAAAAGTTTTTGAATTACCTATTGAATCGAATTTTTGAGCAAGGTTGCATGTTCTTTGTTTTTCCTCGTCTTATGATAAGAAATTTTTTTGCTGTCGATTCCTACTACCAAATTCCTTCCTACAACATTACTTTGTGACAGAGTATAACTAATCAGCAGAATCTCCTATAAAAGCTGAGCGATAGAGACAAATCGGTTTGAATGATCTATGAAAATAATCAAATTACGGTCGATTTGTCTAATGAACATGAAAAATTTAGCTTTAGACACAATGTGATTATTTTAGTCAGTATAGATGTAGAAGACAGTGACAGTCAACAAACATTTTTATATAATATTCGGAAATAAATGTCTCGGGATATTAAGATATGTCATCTCGATTGTTGATATTTGTGTTTGTACATATATTTTTTGAAAAGATGATTGTAATGATCATAATGTAAAGGCGGCATTTTGATGAACATTGACATCCTACTGTTCGAAAAGGAATTTTTTAATATATATATATATATAGTTTACATGCATATTTCACACATTTTCACTCTATATAACGCCGTCAAAGTGCGATCATAGTTACGAAATCAAAATAGAGATATATTTTTTTCATACTGGGAGAGAGCAAGAAATCATCTTCGGTTTTTCTGTTATTGACATTTTATTCTACTATTTTCATTCTCTCCATGTTCGTATAATCAATTGTACACATAGAAGCCAATTATACACTGTTCAAGTAAACACACACACACTCGCTGAGGAAGCGATTTGTTCAAGTTCTTCTCTTTTTATTTTTTCTCCATTCTTTTTTCTTCGTCTCGCCATCTAAAACGAAACAATTGATTTGAACATACATACACACAAGAAAAAAAAAAGAAAAAGAGAAGCAGTCAAAAATCAAAAACTCTCGCTATATGTATCTATATCTATCTCTTCAAAACAACCAAAAAAAAAAAAAACGCTGCTGTTTCTTCGTTTGTCAATGTTCCCATAACTAAGATAAATATATGTCATGTGAAGGTGAGATAATCTGTTGTAAAAATCTCAATATACTCTCGTTTTAACACTTTGATACATCAAAATTTTCATTAACACTTCATGTTAACTAACTGTGAAAGCAATAACGAGATCAAAAGCAGTTTTATGAACTGTTAAGCGTTGATTAAGGACGCCAGCAATTTTATTTTTATTTATTTTTTTATTATTATCGTTGAGAACTTGTTCTTTTTCTCAATTATGCTGTTAGCTAAACATGAGTAGGTAAGAATTCTTTTTTTTTAAACTTGTAGGCGGCAGCAACCATTTCAACAAGTATACAGCAAATAATTGGTATGAGTAAAATAAAGAATTTGACTACTCTATTTTTATCTGCTGCAGTTAGGTTCACAAGTAATTAGATACTGTTAGATTAGATACTTAGCAATTACAAAAAAAAATTAGTAACTATCATTTGTTTTGGCTACTAGCGAAATTACTCGAAAGTTATTGAAAATATAATCTTGTAGTTACTTGATCATCCCGGTAAACTCAATTGCTGTCGTTACTTTTCAATTAGTACTTTTTTATCGTTTCTGTTTATCCGATAACTAAAATACAACGGAAATAATGATACATTTATTATTGACAGATTGATATTTAACGAAAAATTCTCATAACATTTGATTAGAAGTCTTTTGATTGATAGGTTTTTTCACTTCTTGTGATAGACCCCTCTCGAGAATAGAAGGCCAATTTTGTGTTAAATTTTTTTTGAAAATCGTGCTAAGAAAACGAACGATGTTTTTCGAAGAAGAAAAAAAAAAAAATGTTTATTATGTGAAATCATAATAGAAGGCCATGATCTTCTATTGTAAATTAAAGATTCACATAGAAAAATAAAGATTTTCATTAAAGATGATCAAAAGTTTTAAACTCTATTTTTCAAATATTCATTTGAATATTGCTAATTTTGTTAGAATATTAACTCATCTACAGAATGTATAATGATAATGACTATTCATCTGTTCTCTTGAATCAACATTGTTAAACGTTTATTTTCTCGCTCATCATCTTCGACAATTAAATTTCTTTTTAGATTTTATCTATTATATTTTAAAAATTTACTCTATTGTTAATATCTCTCTCTCTCTCTCTCTATATATATATATATATATCTATGATGATTGAACAATTATTATTTGTTATTTTATCATATTTTTTTCTAATTATTAATTTAACATATGTTTCTACAAGTACAATATCTACACATTTTCAATCAATTTGTCAATCTGGTATTAGAGAAGATAATAGTAATTATATACATTGTGCAAGAAAACAATTACAAATTATACCCGATTTTTCACGTATAAATACATTTTATGATGAACTTGTTTTAAATGATAATTTAATTCAACATATTCCTGTAAATGCATTTTCAGGATTACGTGTTAAACGTCTCTCTTTACAAGGAAATAAAATTCAATCAATTGAATCACAAGCATTTATTGAATTAGCAAATTATCTTGAAGAATTAGTTATTGAATTTGATCAACAATATATGCCTATTAATAAAATACCAGATGCTATATTAAAAAATTTATATAATATTCGTTCATTAATATTAACGTATGTATTTTTTGTTGTTTTTTTTTATTTATTAAAAAATTTTTGAAATTTTTAATTATTTATTTTTATTTATTTTAGTGGACTTAATCTTCATACATTATCAAATGATACATTTCAATATTTTAAAAAATTAGAAAAATTTTCATGTATAAAATGTAATTTAGTCACAATTGATGATATGACATTTGATTCAAATAAAATAATATCAATAACATTAAAAGAACTTCATTTAGATAATAATAAATTATCAGATTTAAATTGGTCAAAAATTTGTAAAAATTTAAAAAATTTAGAAATATTAACATTAAGTCAAAATCATTTTCAAACATTAACAAATAATTTATTAACAAATCTTACACAATTAAAATTATTTGATTTATCTTATAATGGTTTACAAACAATTGATACAAATATATTTATAAATCAAAGTTTAACATTAGAAAAATTATATTTACAAAATAATGAATTAAATTCATTACAATTAACATTTTTATTTAATTTATATAAATTAACGGATATTAATATTGAATTTAATCGTATTACATTTTTACCTGAACAAATATTTCAATATAATAAACAATTACTCTATTTATCATTACAAGGAAATGATTTAACAAAATTATCAAATCAATCATTTTTAGGTAAAATATTTTATAAGAAATTTAATAATATTCATTCTTTTTTTCTTCTTCTTGTTTTTTGTTTTTTTAAAGGTTTATCAAATTTAAAATATTTAAATCTTGCTCGAAATCGTATTCAATTAAATATTAGTGATCATCCATTTCAATATTTAAATAAATTACAAATATTAAATTTAGATCGTAATAGTCCATTAAAAATTTATAATTCAACATTTTATGGTCTTGAACAATCACTTATTGAATTAAGTTTACAAAATTGTAATTTAACATTAATATTTTCTGATGGATTTAATTATTTTGAAAAATTAGAACGTTTAAAATTAGCATCAAATAATTTAAAAAGTTTACCATATAATTTTTTAAAATTATCAAAAAATTTAACATCACTTGATTTACAACGTAATCAATTTCAAATAATACCAAAATTATTTTATTTAACACAATTACATGATTTAGATTTAAGTACAAATCGTTTATGTACAATAAATGAAGAAAATATTATACCAATTTATCCACAATTAAAAACAATTGGTTTAACAGGAAATCCACTTCATTGTAATTGTAAATTAAAATGGTTAATAATATGGTTAGATAAAAATTATGATCGTGATTTAATAAAATTTTTACAATGGATATGTATAACACCAAAAAAATTAAATAATAAACCATTAACATCATTAACAATTGATGATTTAATTTGTAATGATGATGATGAACAAAATATGTGTGAAAATAATAAAGATAATCTTATTTTAACTACAAATACAATAGATACAAATAGAATAACAGAGATATCAACAACAATGATAATGAAAACAAAAATAAAAATATTATCATCTAATCAAAATGTCAATATGATAAAATCAAATCAATTAATCATAAATGTTGAATATGATAATATAAATAATATATTTATCACATGGAATTTAATAACAGATGAATCAATAAAATATTATCATTTACAAATTTATGATGAAGATGAAAATTTAATTAAACAAATGCAAAAATTATTGAAAAATTATCAATATAAATTTGATATATCATCTTTATCAATATTAAAATATAAAATTTGTATTAATATTATTTATATAGATAGAGAAGATAAATATTGTCGTAATTATATTTTAAAAAATTTAACAACAATAAAAACACATGAAAAAAATTTACAATTAATTAAAAATGAATATTCATCTTCTATACAATATATATTTTTATTTGCTGGAGCATTATTAGGTGCTGTTTTAGTTTGTCTTATTGTATTTATTATTTGTTTTATACGAATTCGTCATAAACAATCAAAAATCACAAGACAAACATGTTTATATCATGAATCATCAAATAGAAGTTCAAGTAGTTCGAATAGTTCAAGTAATAAAAGTGATCAACAACAAAAAATTTCTATACCAGATAAAAGTTTAATTGCATTATATGATGAATATCAACCGCCTATATTTTATCATCCATTACATTTACAATCACAACAAGAACAAAAAAAAACAAATCATCAACATTATCATGATCATTGTTCAATACATTGTAATAATGTTAAACATCATCAAAATAGAAATAATAGTTCAGATATAAGTGAATGTTCATTACATTTAACAGATACAAGTCATTTAAATAGTGTTGGTACTTCTACACCATTATCATCATCATATCATATTTATCAACAAATTCCGTCTGTTCATAATTTAAACGGATTTATTAATTCATCTTCTTGTCATTTACATGGAACTCTAACACCAACATCAAAATTTTGTCCTCATCCTTTAAATAGTCTTATTTAATTTAAACAGAGAGTCATCATTAATCAAATGTTATTTTTATTGATGTTAATTTTTTTATGTTTTGAATATTTCAAAAATAAATTTTTTTTTCATATCTAAATCGTTTGTTTGATCATCTAAATTGTCATTATCAAAAATAGTTTAACTTCAACATGAGAAGATCTATTCTAAAACTCTATAATACATGTCATCTCAAAAATTGAAAAAAAAAATACAAAATGTTTTAACATTTTAACGTCAATTTTCATAATCAAAATCTCGCTTGTTAACATAAATTGAACAATCTTAGAAATCTTCACAATCATAAAGTATTCATGACTCTTTGACAATGAATGAGATTTTGAGTAGAACAAAGATATTTCCGTTATTTGTACTATGCCATATGAATGAGATGAGTTCGTTATCATACTCTTCTTTTTTTCTTCTTCTCCTTCTCTCTCTCTCTCCGGAAATGAGTTCATTTTCTCTTCACTGTACCATGTAAGATAGGAACAGGATATAACAGTAAGTACATAAGTAATCCTTAAACGTGTCATCTTCATTATGATTTATACAATGAGAATATGGCTATTCATTTTCTTTATCATTTATTCATGTCATACTATCTAAAACCTTGTTCACCTTCAAAATATAAGATGAAATCATCATTAACACTAGCCGCATGTTCTTCATTTTTAGTTCTATGAATGATTAAAAGAATATGGCATGTTATATTGTGACATAAACTTATAAATTTTATCAACTAATTTATAAAGTATTGTCATTTCGTGTTTCTGCCTTGTGGGTACTTGTCAAACGCGCTAATAAACAAATCTTTTTCTCCTATTTGAATAGAATAAATTAAAACATCTGTTTCAATTGCATGTTAATATTAACAAGTTCTAGATTGGTAATGAGTTATCTTTAAGTTTCTCGCGAGCTTTCTATTAACACAAGAAGGTCAAGGCGGGACATAGAGTTGATTGCCATACGCTATCTATCTATAGAGAGAGAAAGAGAGATATCCTGCTGCCGGATGTTTAGATAGGAAGTTTCATATGTACACAAATGTGTGTGGTAATGTTATCAACGAAAAAAAGATTAGTTTGAAGGTTTTTGACAAGCTACTGATAGAAATGTGAACTGATATGTACGTTAAACGCTTGAGAATGTCTACAGAAGATAACGACTGCGCATCATAATTCTGTTATTAATTTCACAGTATGAGGAAATGAATAGCTGTCGGCTTTTATTGGGTTTTTTTTTTTTGTTTTAAACAAATTTATTAACTTTATATGTATTTCTTTCGTTTTCCGTGTAAAACAAATTTTCTCTTTTATTTCATGCTATGTTATTATGATGGATATAAATCTTGTTAACATAGATATCTTATACAATTATCCATATTGAAAAAGTAGTCAAATCAACATTTTTTCTCTGTAATTTTTGACCTTTAAATATCGATGTGAGTGCTTTTTTTTTAGGAAGGAGTTAATTATCCATTTATATAGGTTGTGCTGATTGTGCTTCAGGCAGTTGAATGTTAAAATGAAATTTTTGTGATATCGACCATATATCACAATATGAAGAGTAGTACACTAGAATAATAGTATATGTATATTTTAATTTAGTATGTGTGAGTGTGTGAGAGTGTTCATGGTCACAAGAAGTAATGGATCATACATTTCCTTTTTTTTGTTCAATTCAATCGAAAAATGTTTATATAAAATTTATTTGTCAAAGGTATAGATACATCTGTTAAATAAACATCGAATACTTTCTGTCATAACATATTTTATATTCATAAAACTTGATGGGAATACTCTTGACAAAAAAATTTTTTTAATTGAATTATGCAGTGGTAAAAATATATTTACATTAGAAATGTAGCTTCAAGCAAATTAATGGTTAAAAAAAGAAAATATAGTTTATTTTTATTTTTGAAATATTTAAACTTGAAAATTTTTCTATCATCAATTTACATTTTCTATAACATTGAAAATTTGGTACAAAATATCTTTAGTCTCATCACGTTTATTGATCTCCGTTTATGTGAAAAATGATCTTAGTATACAAAAAAAATTATTTGTTATTATTGTAAATTAGAACGTCTCTGATCACGGTGTGATACCATTTTGTATATGTTAAAATATAATTTATTGATAACACACACACACACATCTACATGTTTTTGTTGTTATTATTGTTTTTGTTGTTACTGTTCTAGATAACAATGATGAATCAAACAGAAGTATGATATCTATTGAGAGTGTGTCAGATCACATATTCTCTTGTCAATCATATCAGAGAGTATGTATCTTCTTTTTAGTATTCATGCAAAATTGAGCATGATCATTGTGAAACGCAATAATTTCTCTGCTAAAATTTACCGTTTGATAATCTTTCTTGCTTGTCACAATAATCTGATGATGCATAAAAAATAAATTATCTTTCTTTTTTCTTTTTTTTTTGTTGTAATCGTCATTGAACAACTTTGATGTTTAACAGACGTTTTCATTGTTCATTTCGATTTTTTTGATGAATGAAAAAACGTGTAATATCACACCTCAAAAGAGACAAAAGAACAAACATTCTTCTAATGATTAAAGACACTTGTTCATTGCACCATAATTCTCTTTCTTCTTTTCAGTTCAATCATTCAACATTTTTGACATAGATATAAAAAAAATTTTTCTCTCGCTCAATTAATTCTATTTTTTAAATTATACTTGTCATTTGATGAGATGAAAACACATAAAAATATTTAATTCGATTCACTATTTTTCTTTCCATCTCTCATCAATATATATTTAAAATATTCAATTAAACAACATTCTACGTTTCATTCAAATATTGCTCTATATGACCATAAAATGTTTGATGCACTTCTGCACTGAACATCTTCAATATAGAACTCATCATTAAGTAGTCATAGCCGATTTTGGTATTAAAAATAAAAAAAACTTTAATCGATATGCACAGTATGTTAATTGTTTTTGTGCATGCTTGCAGGTGCATCAATTTTATTATTAATGGACCATATATTCAATAGAATAACATGTTCAAAACATAATTTACACATATTTTTGCCTACTGCTGTTACTATTTTTCTTCTTTTTTTGTGTATATGTATGTGTGTGTTTGAACATTTGCGGCGGCAGATTAGTGACTTTAAAGTACGATGAGAAGTATACTACTTAAGTGGATGTATTTAAAGAGAATCCCTCCTTTAAAATTTTTATTTTTTAATACTGAATACATGATTATCCCCCAAAAAAACGTAATTAAAGGAAATTGTACTTAGAAAACAGATCACAACAAATGTTATGATATTCAACAGAGCGAAATTAGTTAATCGTTCTGTAGAGAAGAGATATTTAAGCCCAAGTGTGCCATAATTGATTTAACTCGTGCCAATCATTAAGAAAATTTATGTTGTTTTTTTCAAATATCGGGTGGCCCAGAATAAATGGTCCTCCTCGTATTTTGCTTATAATTTTTTCTTTTCAGTTCTTGAACCTCATTGTTTTTCCAAAAGATGCATCGTCAAATTTTTTACAAGACTACATCAAACTTATTTCTATAGAAATTTAAGGGGAAAAATTAAACGAAGAATACTCAACATAATGAAACGGACTAACTTTCTAAGCTAATTTGTTTTACAAATTTTAGAATAGTCAACTCTAAAGACAAAGAAACAAAAGGGAAGCTATTTTTGAGTACTTTGAAGTGTGCTCTTTCTCCTTATGTAGTTGACAGTTCGTTTAAATCTAAGTGAACACTAAAAAATTCCAACATTCCAAAATTCACCTCAAAGTGAACGAAATCTGCTATTGTCCGATAGGTGAATTTATGAAGAAAGCTTTAGGTAACTTTCGCCGCTGAATCTGACACCGATGTCATTTCTTATCAAAATAAAAAAGAATGAGCTAAACAGGTGCTATTTTGGCTTCGTTATGGAGCGTTTTCCAGCAACTTTGAATCTACACATTCAAATACAAGGTGATTTTACAAAGCCTCAAAGAGGAGACAAGCGATGTAACCCTCAAAGATTGATTTTGATTTTGTGCACCTAACACTGGTTGATAGAGCTTTTCGATGGCTAAAAAATACGTATATTCTTTTCTTCTTATCACCCACCTCAATGAAAGTGATTGAACAAAATGTTTTTTCGGCTTAGAAAGTTGGTTCGTTTCATTATGTTGAGTATTCTTCGTTTAATTTTTCCCCTTAAATTTCTATAGAAATAAGTTTGATGTAGTCTTGTAAAAAATTTGACGATGCATCTTTTGGAAAAACAATGAGGTTCAAGAACTGAAAAGAAAAAATTATAAGCAAAATAGAGGAGGACCGTTTATTCTGGGCCACCCGATATTAATACAGCTTTTCAGAAAATCTAGAATATATATTCTAATCGGAAACATTTGGAAAATCTTTTCTTTTCTTTACGTTTTCATAAGAGACAACCACTATTTAAGGAATAATTCAATCAAATTGTATTCCATCTAAGATATACTCTAGTAATATGAACTTTAGTCAATGGATTTATGCATCCCATCCTTTATTTTTACAAAAATATGAAATGAATGAATGATAATGAATAACTCCTTCTAATTAAAGGACATTGAAAATATCAAAATTATAGGAGTCCAGTTTTGATTTGATCATTAGCAAACCGAATATATCTTAAGTTGTTTTTTTTCTTAGAAGAACTTTAACTAAAACGTATAAAATGGTAGCAAATAATGGAATTTCTATTTTTTGAAACAAATTAAAACAGATTTTTATTTAAAATCAACAACAATCGAGAAACTGAGTATTTTCCACATATTTCACTGGGATGTCGCTCCATGACAATGTCAAAGTATGAATGTCCTGAAAATACAAGTGAATTTGTATGTAAATTTTCGACTATTTCATATAGAGAAAAAAAGGTAGAAATTTCGTCATATATCTTTCAGAAAAAAATGATGAGAGTTATGAGTGGAAACGAGAACAACTTTCATTCTAAGAAAAACTTGTCAATTTTGTACAATAGATATAGTAAATACTTTGCATCTGTAACCATTTAATTATGTCATATATGAGAAAAAGATCTACGATCAGACTGATGACATTGCTCAAAATACACACAATTAAATCAAAAATTGCGGGAAATAATAGCTGCTGCAATTCTCATTTCAATGAACAAAGAAAGAAATATGTGCTACTAATGTTTTCTTCTATATTCTTCGAAAAATAAATATTTTACTTGTAAAATCAATGACCGAAGTTAACCTTAAAAGATCATCGTCCAACACATGGTTAATGATTTTGAAACCTATTGTGCAGAGACGTATCAATGCACTATTGAATTTACAGGCAGATTATTTTCGAGTACGTGTTAAATTTTATGAAAAATTGCACACAATTCAACAAAAATATTTTCCAGAATTTGAACATCTCTATCAAAAACGCTGTAGTATTATTAATGGTCAGTATGAACCAAGTGAATATGAATCACGCGTTGACTGGTCAACAATGACATCAACAAAGCAAGAATCTGATTCAATTATCTCCATTGAGAAAAAGTTTGATCAAATGTCAACAAATACAAGTTTATATAGTGAAATAAATTGTGTTGAAAACACAGAAAAAGGTATACCAAAATTTTGGTTAACAATATTGAAAATGATGGACGCATTTAATTATAACGTGAAATCACAGGATGAACCGGCGCTTGAACATTTAGTCGATATTCGATATCAATCGAGTACAGATTTCAAAGCACCGGGATACACATTAGAATTTCTATTTTCATCAAATAAATATTTTACAAATAGTATACTAACGAAACAGTACGATATTCGAGTAAATATTGACGAAACTAAACCGTATCATTACGAGGGACCTGAAGTGGTCAACTGTAAAGGATGTGTAATCAATTGGAATTCTGAACATGATTTGACAATAAAAATGAGAAAGAAACGGGTGAGAGAACGAAAAACGGGTGTGATGAGAACAATTATTATTAAAGAAAAAATAAAATCATTTTTTAATTTTTTTGATCCACCGATAATACCTGAAGGAGGAATTTATGATATGGAAGAAGAAGAACAAATGATTTTGGAAGCGGATTTTGAATTTGGAATAATGTTAAAACAGAAAATATTACCACGAGCTGTTCTCTATTATACAGGAGACATAAAAAATTTTCTTGACGAAGAATTTGATCAAGACCAATCAAATAATCAAGAAGATCGATCTCCAACGTCCACATCATCATCATCACAATAGAAGCTCAGTTTTCGTTGATTATTTCTTTCGACTGTTCCCCGATTGTTTTCTATTAATCTAAAATTAGCAATATTTTATATAAATCAGTTCATTCTTATCACTCACAGATATTATAGACTAACTAATTATCCGACAATCATAGCGTTCTTTGATTTTCATTTATAACATCTCGAATTATAATGTATGAGGGCTTTTAGGCTTTAGTAAAAGTATTTTTTCTGTTAATGTTAGGATTTCTCTTTTTCTTTCTTTGTTGCTAATCAAAATAATGTGATAATAATAATTCACTCATCAAAAGTTTTTGATCTAAGACTAATTCAACACACTTTAGAGGTCAAAAACTTAATCCCACAATTCGACACTTAGTCAAACCGAAAAAATGCGTCTTGTTTTATCAGTTTGTTGTAGATAGTAAGAAAAAGAATGTTTCTTTTAAATTTACCATCTAATCCAAAAGAATTGGCAGCCATTGAAAGACGCCGCAGAAATGAAAAAGAACGTCAAGCGCGAATATTCAATGTGAAATATCGAACGATTGGAGTAAGTAAATGAGTTTATACCAAATGCGATATAAGTCTACATTGGTTTTATATACATGAAAGATTGATAAAGAAATGCTCGATGAACAAGTCAGACAACGAGAATTGATACAAGAAATGGAGCGACGAAGAGATGAAGCGTTTGGTAAAGAGTTAAAAAAACATTTTTTAATTATAAAACCAATAATTTATTGTTTTAGCACGAGAAATGATCCGGAATGATTTGAAAGCGTTGGTAATGGAACAAGACGAACGTCAAAAGGACTATGAATGTGCCAAAAGAGTTGATGAATTCCGAAAATTATATCAAAAACCAGAAATGGCGAGAGAATGGGATCTGAATAATCCAGATGCTTTGAAAAATGGAGTATCGCCAAGAATAATGGATGATGATCCACGTTTGGGACCAGCATCGATCCAGTCATTTGCTGGAGAAGATTTGAATTTAAAAGCACGAAAGAAATTACAACAAGAGCAACTGAAAGAATATTTTAACACACAGGTAATTGTTTTGCTACACTAGTGACATGGTCAAACCTTAGACCGTAGAAAGATTTTGTTTTTTAAGCGAATGATACGTAAAAAAAATGAACGGCAACAACAATTAGCTGATTTGTTGTTTGATTGCAAACAAACACAACTTAATCAAATTGGATATAACTTTGAAAAGATTGAAGAAGAGTGCAAACGTGCTATAGGAGTTGCTACGAGACATTATAATGAAACATTGGTAAGAGCCGGCATTTCTAAGTTAAATTCGAACTTTGGTTTCTTTTCTGTTATAGGCAAGTGAAGCAAAAATGAAAGAACGAGAGCAACGTAAACGTGATACAGATGAACAATTATCGGAAATAATCGACACAGCATTTTCTAATTTATTAACGGAAGATGACAGTACCGCTGTGAGCGCAGTGAATCCAAGTCGAGTTGTTGTAGATCGATGGAAGGGTATGACCAAAGATCAACTAAATGAAATACGAAACGAACAATTGAAGCAAATGGAGCAAAGACAAGTAGGTAGTTGTTGGTGAAATTATATATATTATAATTTCATATGATTTGTTTTTACAAAAAAAGATGTTCAGTGAGCAAGTCAAGAAGTATATAAGAAAGCATATGAGCTTATCAAAAGAGAAAAGAGAAAGACAACAAAATAACGGACAGTTGAAAAGTATAAAATACTGGTGGTGACAGGAAAATGTTTTTGTTTACACAAATCCAACGTCCACTTTCAGATTGTCTTAGAAGGATGTTACAGCAGGAAATAGACCAGCATATACTGGCAAACTATTTTCATTACAAAACGTAGAAAAAAGAAAGATCATTTATTAGTGAGAGGAATATGAGCATGTTCTATATCAAGTCTTTCAACAAAAGATTGAACCATAGCTTGTTAGGATTTAAAATATCTCAACAATGGTTCAATAAAAGTTAATTAAACGAAAGTATAGCTAACAGCTGAGTAATGACCAGAACCGTCCGTAGAGTCTTAACATTAGGGGAGTGTAACAAATATTCTCGCAGAAATGGTATGAAATTCGAGAAAAAACGCACATATCAGAATTAGTACGAAGTATTAAAAGAAGTTCAACGCTAACTACTGTTTTATTTCTCATACTGTCACATCGAAAATAAGAAAAATGACAAAATGACTTCGAAGGTGTCCCCTTGTTTCACTCTTATTTGTATTTCTAGTATGAAAAAAAAATTTTTCGATCTATGTGGTCAAAAAACCAAAATATTTCAGTTATTGGAGTGCCCCTCTTCTGGAATTGACAGCTCTGGTAATGACAATATATTTTCACTGATTAACCGACACATCAGCGCCCCGACATGTGAGGGATCCCTTATACAACCATTCACACACATTCTTCTACGAGTTTGAACTTCTTTGAATCCATTCGCTTGCTTCAACGATAACTGCAGCGGTTCAAAATGGCTTTGTATACCAGATATTTTCTTGTACTTATACCTATTCGTTAAACTAAATTTCATCTCGAAGATTTTCAGCATTCTGAATTGATCTGTTTTCCACCTAGTATGAATACAACACCATTATGTCAATCGATGAATATTACAGGGCCTAAAATAATTAAAACCCTCTAATTTCATGAAATTGGAAGGACAATGCGAGGAATGCTATTTTTTTCACTCACTCTCATTACTCTCTCCCCTCCTCGATGAGAACCCAAAAATCTATTTGATTTTGTTGATCGCAAGAAACTATCGGTGTCAACTGTCGGTCGTTTAAACTTCGGTTGCCGATTTTTTTACCACTAATATTGCAGTGAAACTGATGTATTATTATTCATGAAATCAACTTTTGAGAAGATTCAAGGTTTCGATTGTTAGAAATTTTTGTGGAATATGAAACAGTGGTACTTTAGGACAGCAATACATGTTATATAAACTTGAACGCGGATATATAAGAAAATTTCTTCAAAAGTTCTGCCTTTAGTTCTTAGAATATGACGACAAGAAAGAGCTGTCTTAATACTATGTGGTTTCCACGTTAAAGCATGGAAATATAAACATTCAAAAGTTTAGACATATTGAGAAAATTTGTATTAACAGTAAACATAATCCGTAAAATAATAAAAAAATGAATGAGACAGAAGAAAGAAATAGATATGTCCAAATACGCAGCAATTTGAATTGACCAGAGTAGAAGTAGTTTCACATCTCCGCTTGTAACGTTGCACAACCTATTTGTGACTGAGCAAAATTTTTTACAATTGTAATGGTGTTTCGTTTACTAGAAGAGCAGACTACGAAGAGATTATAGAGTTTTTTAAAAAAGACTGTAGAGTACGTCCTATATGCTAGTGGATCAGATATGAGCAAAAAATACAAGAGAACTTCATGTCTCTATCTTTCCTCAAACAATAGATGAGTTTTACACAAGGTCTGGAAATGAGAGTAACATTTTTGATTAGATTTTAACAATTTAATCTGTAAGCAACACATACTATTTTCTTATTTCTAATTGTAATTTTCTGATTTTTATTTCGATCAAAGTTCATGAGCATACACAAATAGAAAAAAGCTAGTACAAGACACTAAAGGACCTTGCGGTATGACCATTTACACGCACACACACTCTCACATTTAATGAGGAGAAGAGATGTTGCCTGCAGATTCCATTGTAAGGACCCAAAAGAATACAGAATAACTATTTTGGAAGAGGAAGAAATTGAAATTTGTTTAGATTAAGCATCCTTATTTAGACAAAACTTAACATATGATTGCAAAAATGTTGTTAGGATCTTGGTATCCGTTGCAGAATGGAAAAGAATAATAATATTACTCGAAGCATTATTAAGGACAAAAAAACCGATTTTGAGATTGATACTTAGTTAGATAACCCTAACTGTCTACTTTCGAATGCATTATGGTTTGTTGGTTTTACGGTGATTTTTGAGGGTTTTAGAGAGATCTTTCTCAAACACTCCAAATCAGAAAAAATGGCTTTTTGCAAATTTCAGCCATCGGAAAAGTATCCCGCACGTATTTCGGCATATGTTTATTCGATTCACCATAGTCGATAATCTCTGACAAAGTATTCTCAGTTTCTTCCTATACCACACGTTGAAGAAAAAAACCTTGATTTCTAAAGTCAAAATTTATTTTGCGTTTTTCTCAAAATAGGTTTTTCTATTTTTACCTGTTCATGCAGCCCAGATTTCTCCGCCATTTTACACGTTAGAAAGCTCGGGAAGGTCTTAAAATGAAGTGACAACTTAGCGCTACAATGTAGCAAGCTTGGATTTTCTATTTTCAGTTTAATTTTTGAGAAAAGTAAAATTTTCTGAAAAGTGAGTTGTAATTTTTCCAACGTTTTTAAAAACAGCCTTCGGAAAATATAAATCAAAAACAATTAAAATATTGGACCTTGCTATGTTGTAGTAACAAGTCTTGGCTACATTTTAAGATCTATCCGAGCTTTCTAGCATGTAAAATAGCGGAGAAATCTGGGCCGCACAGACACCTACTTTTTGACCCTTAATTTCACGATAACTCTGGGAAAACTCAATACTTCGAGCTCAAATTTGTGTGTCATATATTAAACATAAGGGACATATTCTGTGAAAATTTTATCAAGATCGAATGTTCTGGGATAAAAATAGATTTTTGACAGGAGGGGAGCCTTAAGTTTATCTAAAATCCCAAATAATTTCAAAAGATGGCGAAAACAGTTCGTTTCATAATCCGACTCATCGTCACCTTTCTATAGCGATTCCACGATATCCACTAATGTCCATCCTAGTAGACATGGGTCTTAAAGAGTTAAAGAAAAATGAACTAATGTCCCTCTCGCTTATCTAAATGTGATAAATCAGGCTCATCCCAACTAGAAGAGTGATCAATATAGTCTAAATAAGAACCGTGATATACTTTATTACATATCAAACTGAGAAAATGTATCTGAATTATATAATGCCACATATTTACGTTGTCAGTGAGATTTGCATTATAGTCCTCAGATGATCGTATCTTTTCAGATAAATTCAAGAAAAAACACTGCCATTCTATTAAAATGTCTTGTAGGAATATAACAAATTGAGTATGTAGATTAATACTACGCCTTCAAAACTGACAATAGTGAAAAGGAGAATCTGATATTTTAAGTTCACCATTATGAACGTTGTTTGATAATCATGTTTCTTGCAGGAAATGTAGGTCTTTGTGTTGCTTTTGTTTGTTGGAAACAAACAATTGAAAAATGTCTATATGTTTTTGTAGACGTTGTATGTCATGATTAAAAATAGTAAATTTACAGATGTTATTATTATCTAAACTTTGTGCTGTATTTTTATCTGTCAATATTTTTCTATGTGCTATTTAAAATATGGTTTCATTTTTTTAATATCATATTGACCAAGATAAATGTTGTCACACGTATTTAGATGTTGTTCTTTAAGTTGGAAATTAATCATATCATAGTTTTCCTTGAATAAGTTATTTGCTAAATCATTATTGTATGTTTCTGATGATTTTTGTAAAAATATGTTCATCCTCCATACGAATATCATTGAATCGATGCTAATTACAATGTTACATTTCACAATATGATTATAATCTTGAAAACTTTGACCATTTGATGCATTTGCAGTCTCGTCAAATTGTCTGTAAGGGATAAAAATAATTTTAATAGCTAGAGATATCATCTCGAAGATGATGATGGTTTTGTTCGTATTGTAGTTTGATGTTTCTAATCGAGAATTTAAAAAAAATGATTGTTGCTGATAATTTCTCTAACATTTTTATTGTAAACTGTTGTTGAGGCTTTATCTGATTTTTCAACCAATAACGATAATTCATGAATTTTTTCACAATAGACTTTATTTGATGTTTATGTGATCTATAATTGCCTGACTATTTTATTCATTGTTTCTTGTAATTTTTTATTAAAAACATTGCATGATCTCAGCTCATATCCCTGAAAATTTTCTAAACTAATGAATCAACAAGTTACGCTATCAGATCAAGGTAAGTTTCATTCAACGACGATACAATGATTATTTACTTGAATACTGATAAGCATTGATTTGATTGATATCAGAAGAGTCGATAAGTATTAAAAGCCAGTTCATTCAGTATATAGTCAACCATCTCTAATCAGCATCAAAACCACTTTTTATTATATTCGTATGCATTGATCAACATTTCCTCTCTCACCTCCCTCCTCTGTATCTATTCACTGTACACACAGCCTAAATATAGTTTAAACCAATCACTTTTTCTATATGTTAGTTTATGTGTTCTTTGAGAATATCACTGTTTTATGCTGAGGTAAAAAACGATATTCCAGTATGGTCCTGTTATCTTACTGATCACTGCCTGTTACTGATCTAACAATAATACGACTAAAACCATTAGAATTTTTCTGTTTTCTTTTATAGAAATGTGAAATTGAAGAAGAACGATTTAATGCAAAATGGGATTTGTATCATAATGTCATCGCTAAACAAGGAACAATTATTGAACAAAAATTAAATGAAGAAACAAAACGTTGTAATCAAACATTTGCTGATTATAATCTGAAATTGGCTGAAACACAAAAAGAGCGAGAAAAATATTTAAAAAATGTTGTTTATCGTAGTGTGCCGTCATCAACCTTTTATACTCAATTCAATACCACGAGTAGATGATTTATATTTTGGTAAAAATGCAGATAATTTATCATATTTAAAATCATTTTGAGCTCTATTATCGAAAAATTCTGACATAAGAAAATCATTGTTGTTGTAAAAAGAATTTATTTTATTTATTCATTTCAGTTTTGATTTTTCGTGAATAAATTATTGAAAAATCATTTGCTTTCTATGAACAATTTTTCTCGTATCTCATTGATGCAAATAACAATTTTTGAAGTTATTGGAAGTGTATTATTTAGCTTGTCTCAAACAGAAGTGTACCACCTGCTTTGCTTTTTTTCCTTTATAATAAATTTGTATATTTGTCTAGGAAGCGTATGTACACTATTCCAGTACACCAGATCCAAGTTATTACAAAAATTGTTTATAGATATAATAGTGATAGGATCGATACAATAGTCGAATTAAAATGTTCTAAATTCTGGATACTAGATAATTAAAAATTCTATTTGTACTGCTCAAGAAAGTCATTAATGTGAACAGAAAGTAAGAAAGTGTTTGTATTCGGCGACACAAATAATTTGATTAATGTGAACAAGTTGATCATAACCCAAATTGAGGACATAGGCACCAGCGCAGAACAGATGGTATTGTGTTTATTTTCGAGAGGATTAAAACTTCATACTAGGAAATATAAGACAGGAAATATTGTTCGATAAAATATGTGTAGTAATATTTAACAAATTTGTGTGAATGTTTAAGTAAATAGATGTGTACAGCAGGATTTGTTTATAGTGAACAAATATACATGAGTGGATAGTAAAATAATTGCCGCCACCTATTAGTTTATCTCTCTATTGATACAAACTGTAGTACATCTTCACACATCCATAATAATATTTAACATTAGACTGATAATTTAAACCGACTATCTTTACTTACAAATAGGTGATAGATACATGACGTACGCGCTAAATCATTTGTTAATTTCAACGATCATCTACTACGACACAGAAAGAGAGTAAAGATGTAGAAAATTAGACTCATTGATGATGGTCATACACATAGTTTATATTCTATCTATGAGTCCTTCAGAAATATTCTACAGTTATGAGCAGAATACGGAGAAACTTTCTCAGCTGTAGAATGTCAAAAATATTAAATGTCAAACATTTATTCAAGTTTTAGTACAAATACAACAACGTTGTACACAGTATAACAAAAAATTTTGAAACAAAAGAAAAAAAACAACAAGAGATACATTAATTTATATTACAAATAATTATTTTATTAAGCTATTATACAATAATAAAAAAATCACTGTTAAAAAATAATAGAGTCATTTTTGCTTGGTAATCAGGGTCTATAGTGATCCGTAACATTAATGTCTTGTCATGTACATAGCTCCAAGCGTTAATACACCTGAAATTAAAAATAATAGTTAACAATAAGAAGCTCGTCTAATATGAAGAAATGATTTCAATAAACTCAATAAAGATTTTTAAAATTTGTGAATTTAGAAAGTATGAATAAATAATAGTAAAGATCAATAGGAACATTAAATAGAAGGTATGATAAACTATAATGTTATTTGATAATAAGTCCAATCTAATATAATGAAAAAAAGAAGTTTGAACTCACTATGCTCATTGTAAAGAAATACAAATGATAAGCAGTTAGCTAATTGTATAGTTCGTGTCGATATCTTACTGTGTTAAATTATTTATTTATTGTTTTATATCATAATTAGATGAAGACTAACAAGAAAAGAAAAAAAATTAAATGCGTGACTCTATGACAATATCATTCTAGTATAGTCACGTTGTGTTTTTCTTCTACGTGTTTATCTCATTATCTTAGTGGGACATTCCTGTTCAGTTATGCACACCGTTGGATACCCAATGCCATTAACTTATTAAACAAGCATGTATGTATATAATTGAAGAGAAAAAAAAAATTTCAAGTATTTGTACAAGAATTTGTCATCATCTTTATTTTATATATTAGTAGAATACATCATCCATCTGGTATGCGATCACCACCCTCTCGAGGCTAATCTGTTTTAAAAACTTATTGATCACCTGTCTAAGAGAGTAGTTATACGACTTGATGATTGAACAGATGTACGATATATGTTCTTACCTATTGTACCCATTATCGTTGCGAATCGACTCAATGATTGTCGACGATTATTTTCGAAATGTTTCCCGAAACCATCCTAAATAAATAAAGAAAAAAAGGATGAATAGAAAGAAAAAAAGACATTAAACAAAAAAGACTAACCCAAGCTTTTTGACTATCTATCCATTGTTTTAAATCGTTATCAATATAGTGTTCTGTCCATTCTATAATGAGATTGATCATTGCTGGCATATTATGTTCATAACATTTTAGAGCTATCATTCCTGAATAAGATATTAACATGATAATACGCCCCCAATTACAAATACCATCACTAAATAGATTTTCAACAATGTCTAGAAATGTAGCATGAATATTGGCTGGTATAATTGGTATATCTGTTGGAAAAATATTAGCTGATCGAAATCGATACGCTATTTCACTTTCATTTGCTAATTGTCTCATTAAGATATTAATACGGTTTGGCTCTGTAGTTAAAATATTTGCTATTTCGATATTCGTACTATTATGTAAACGCCAATAAATATAGTCAGATACAACTGAACGTGTTGTCACTGATAGCAAATTTTGTTCACTAGCACCCATTATTGTGTGGTATAATTTTCTTTGATGGGTGATGATAATGGTGACAAATTATGAATTGTGAAAATAGAATAATAAAAACGTACGTCAATCAAACAGTTCGGTGTGAACAAAGTATAGATTAGAATACAACATATCTGAAAAAATAGAAATTTATTTTATATACAACATATTCAACACGTTAAAGACAAACAAAGACTTACTGTCAATAGAACTGTGTTACTTACTTTTTTTCTTCTTATACATTCATTTCAAGAAGGTCAGAACAATGCTGCACTTTGTTCGTTTAGAGTAGTACTATTTTTTATCTACTCATGATACGGAATTAGAGATAAAATCAGTGCATGTTTTTCTGAAACCGAATTGAACTATTCAATTTTTTAAAAAGTCCACAAATTACAGTTTCTATACTCTTTCAAAATGTCTTTTTCTGCTTCGCTCATATAAGCTGTTGAATAAATTATGAAATTAAGAAAGGCAACAGATTATGATGATCTCAGAAGATTTTCGTATTAGGGTAGAGTATGTTGTTTTCATGTTTTCAAGATTGAACGAATCTTTTTAAGCACTGCACTATCACGTGAATCACCAAATGATGTTCTAGTTTCTGACTTAAAACAGCGAACTACGATAATTTTTTCATAATAAAGATACATATATCAGAATAGTCATTAATGTGTATGTATTTAGGTCTTAAAAGTCTTCTCTTTTCTGAAAATCTCAATAATTATCAAGTTTTTGTATTTAAGTTTCTGAGTATTAGTGTTTAGTAGAACTATGAACAATGAAACAAAAAAATAAATACTTACTCAAAAAAAAAGTAAATTATGGAAATTCTTCTCTTGAATCAAAAGTCTCTTTCGAAAGAAATAACGTTCGTTATGAAATGAATATAAGAAATAACTCTTCAGTGCTCTGTATGCCGAACGACTACTAGGTCACAAAGAGCTCATTTTTCATTAAGAAGAGTTGTCTGTATATACGGTCATCTAAATAGAAAGAAACATTGAACGAACGAAACCAATTCATAGAAAGAGAGAAGAAGAGAGAAAGAGAAAAGAGACCATGATAGAAACAGAGAGAGAGAGAGAGCGAAAATACAGGGTGGCAGAAGAAGAATTGTACAATTTTTTTTTCTCTTGACAATTTATATATATAGAAAAGATCGATACTGAACAGAAATATGCGGCTATGGAGTATGTATAGCCACATAACCTAAAGAAAGAAGAATAAGAAAGATTTCAGCTGGCATCTAAAGTGTTCAATTGTTTAACGATTCGAAAACAGAACAAAATACATATTCTTATTCTTTTTTTGATTGACTTTGCATATGTTCAATTTAAAAGTTTATCGATTAATATGTGAAATGTTGTTTTTATTTTCGATAAAGAAATTTGATATCAAATTTATCTCGTTTTAATTCGACTAAAATTAGAGTATGGACGTCCGAAACAAGAAAATTCAAGCTGCGTCGATATCAAATACGTTATAAAATTCAAATCTATAATTTGTCTATGACAATAAATGCCTTCATGTCAAAATTTCATAGTTTACGCGTCGCTATTCTTCTTTTTTTAATAAACAATCGATGTTAAAATAAGCAGAAACAATTACGTGCTTTACCCATCGTCAATTATATATTTATAAATAATGATTTACACTTATTTTTCTTTCATCTCACGCTTTTTCAATAGTCTATATAAAATCTCCTCCCTGGTATTACCGAAGTAAATAATTTTATAATTACATACTTATAAAAGACATGATTAACCTTATAATCTTTCTTTGAACGTCAGATATGTGTACATCCAACCGTGTGAACAAATACGAAAATAATAATCGAAGTTGAACAATATTGATTGTTTGTTACATGCTATAGGCAAAAAAGAGTCTATCATTTGTTAATCACTGCTAAAGATATTAAAAATTTCATGATATGAAAGATATAGATGATAACCAATGGGAATACAGATTGATTTTAAGATTCATACAAAACTCATTTTAGTACTAGGTTTAGTTGAATAATAATGAATTACTATTTTATAATGTGACATGACTTGACAATTCAAATTACAAAACAGAACAGGTGTGTATACAAAGACATGTTTGATCTTGGGCCGCTAGGCGCATACACTTTTAAAATATCCTAACAGCACACATCGCTAACACACGAAATTAACTTAATCATCATGCGATATTTATTTATCATAGACATTTTCAGTCTATAATAGTCAATTTTGAAGCAAAGAAAATCTGTTGAACATGTGTTCTAATTATTGAAAGGTTATTGCTTTTTGTCTCTATTCTGCTAGGCATACTACATTTCTTTTTGAAGAAATAATTAAAATATAGAAACAGATAAGTCGCGTGGATATAAGCTTCTATACAGGGGGATACTTGACAAAAAAGCCGACTTTCTTCTTATACACGAAATATTAATGAGTATTTAGATGGTGATATTTTTCTTTAGAAAGGCACAAAAATAATTGAAATGAATTAAATAACATCGTTTAGTTCGATGATTAAAATGATACGTTTATAACTAAAGTAGAGAACTTTTTGTTTAGAGCTTTTGAGTAGTGAACTGCCCGCTGAAAAAAATTGATCAAAAGAAAATATACAAAAACATAAGTCTCTTAAATCCCATAAGAGATTTTATCCATTCTTTAAATGTAATAGTTTAAAAAAAATGAGTAACGTTATCCAATAAAGAACGTTGAACAATGACTGGGCTTGTTAACAATAATTTCAATTTTCAGCGGCGTTCAAATAGTTCTTTAGTTTTAAACCAATTACTTCTACTATCGTATAAATCTTCGCCACTTTGCTACTATAATGAGCTAATTAGCGAACACATGAGAAATTCAAGCGCTTGTTTGGAGAGCTATTTGAGATTCATGCGCTTGATTAATTTGATAATGGTATCGAACAATACTGTAGTTTATGGGCAAATGCGAAATCAAAAGATAAGTTCAAGCAATGAACAGTAATAACAATAATAGTACAAGTATTCAGCGAAAACATAGTGCTCTATTAAAACGAACTGATTCTCTTGAAGTATTACGTAATCGCCAACAACAACAACATCATCAAAATAAGAGTAGTCAAGTTTGTACGGGATGTCTTGAACCAAATCGTCTTTCAACCGCACAGTTTGTAGAATCAACGATAACAAAACATTCGAATAAAACGACGAATAATACAAATAATCTTTTTCAACCGATCATACCCGAAGAAACAGATTTCACGAATAAATATTACAACAAACCACCATCACCATTTCAAGTCGGTTTAAAGTGGCTGTTACGTCAGTCGCGCAAAAATCTCGTTCAAATCCTTCATTCATCAGAAAATTTTGTTCATACAAATCAAAATGCAGAGACCTATATAGCTCCGGAAATTCGCATACAAAATGACCATAAAGAACTAAATGTAAGACAGAGTATATTTGTTTGATTTTGTTCTTGATAATGATTTATTTTCTAGACAGTGATAACCGATCGTTCTTCTCAAAAAGATACTATTTCAATTAAATCAACTGATCAATATAATACACATTCGTCAATGTCTGGTAGAAAACAATTTCAAAAACCAAAAAACACTTTGCATCAAACGTCATCCACAACGTATTACTCGTTTACACCAACAGTAAAAGATGTCAACAATAATACACCATTGTTGTCTGATGATGATGATGCTTCACCATCTTATTCATATAAAACAGCAATTGATAATTTACCAGTCAAAACCTCTCGACATCGTCGTCGTAGTTTCAAAGTCAATGCTGACTCTGACAATCACATTCGAACATTAGATCGTAACAATAATAATAGCAGCGATTTATCTAAAAAAAAGAAACAAAAGTTTTTTCTAGTCATATCTGATTCCTATTGTTTTTATACAAGTCTGTTATCTCTATTTTGCGTTCTCTGTTCATCTCTAGTTGGACTATTAATTTATTCAAATCATCGTCTCGATTCACGATCCTATTCTTGTCTGTTAAAATATAGTTTTTGGTTTCCCGATGAATCAATACGTCTTCTGAAACAAGAAACTGGAATTCATTGTGCCTCATCTACTGAGGATATCAATTCTATTATTCTATATTATGTACAATTTACATCACGTACATATCAAATTGAAATACGTCTCGATTCACGAGCATTAAATTGTTATGGTTTCGATATTTTATCGTGTACTCAAATGCATTCACCATTGATAGACAAAATTAAATATAAAATACTTTCACCAACCATTTATTCACAATTGCTTGAACAATGTACAAGACTGGAGTATAAAACGTTGACAACAACAACAACAAGCGGTAGTAATGACGATAAATTAACAAAATATAAACTTTATCTATTAAAGAGAAAAACGTTGCCGGGTACTTTATGTGGTGGAACGGGCAATTTGGTTAGTGGTAATTCGAAAAGAAATGGTGCAAGTCCATTAGAAGATTATTGTTGTTTGAAACATGATTTATGTCAACCACGTTTACCAGCACAAACAACAAAATGGTCATTGACAAATTTAAATTCAATAGATCTTGTTCATTGTGCATGTGATATGGCACTCTACAATTGTTTGAATCATGCGAATACAACACTAGCACATTACGTTGGTTATATCTATTTTAATTTATTAAAAATGAAATGTTTTCATTTTTCAACCACATATGATTGTGATATTAATCTATTCGGATATTGTTTAAAAACATCAAAACATAAAATAATGTGCAAAGCAAAATTTAGTAAAAATCCGGTTTATTGAAACATTCATATCTAACATGATCTCTAAATAATTAAATAAATGATTCATAATTTCATGAAATTTCATATATGTACGTATGTACGTAATAGATTTCATTGAAGCTCAATTACAATTGAAAAATTAATTGTTTATGCGCATATATTAATGATAATTATTTTTTCTTGATTAAAAACTCTTATGCATCTTTGATGTTTTTGTATTTAAAATTAAGTAACTGAATTTTGATTATTATTCTTCGTTCACCTTGCTAAGATGCATATCTTTTGAACTTGATTTATCTTCCTTTAATTTTATCTATCTTAGATAACAAGCGGCATATCAACCAAACCACTATGAGTCAAACACAACAGCCTATTCATTGTTAAACATTTAAAGATTCATTAGAAAGTATGTACATTATTGAAAAAATATGCGCATAGGGTGAGAATGAAAGAAGAATAGATTGTTTAACAACGAATGATCTTCACATAGTAACATGTTTATAATGAGCGGTAGACATCAGATAGGTATAGAGATCAAGAACATAATAGGATTTAAAGATAATGAGAGAAGTGTGGGAAAGAAAAAAAAAATCGTTTCTCATGTAAACGATAGTTATATAGAAGAATGGTGGGAAATAGATCTCTGACACATATACTTAGAAATTTAATCTGTTCAGCCAATGTGTGTATATGTGTACCTATATAATATGTATGTATGTGTGCAATTCTACCTGACAGTAAAAGAATCACTTCAAAGTAAATTTATATTAATTTCATTGCATCCCACTAAACTATAGTACTCAAATTCTTTTTTACAAGATCGAATGAACATTTCACCAGGTTCTACTAGGAATTCAAAAGTTACCTGACATTCTGTATGCCAGTTAAAGCCATAGACTAAGAAGAGCATGTTTTCTAAGAAATTCAAAAAATGAACTATTTATATCTAAACAGTTACGAACAATTTTTTCAAATTTGTATGCTGCCACTTAGACGTTCTCATCTTCGTTGTCCCGCTACCACAAGGTGTACATTATTTTAGTTCTATCATACACAGATCGACTGCTGACATACGTATCTTACTTCTCCAGTTCATGAGAAAGAAAAATGAGACTATATTGCACTTTTTACCGATGTGAGAGCTCTAAATCACCACAAAAAAGGAATGTTTTCTGCAAATTAGTGTTTGAGAATTGTCTTTATCTAAATCTTATTTCTTAAGCTTTTCAGAGTACCAATTATTAAAAAACCGTGAACTGAATGGTTCTACCCTTCAAGAAATTATTGGGTACTATTATTTGTTGCACATTTCATTCAATGGTACAGAAATTAAAAAAAGATAATTGACAGAAAAAACGTATAAAAAAATTGAATTAAATGCACCAAAAACGAAACTCTACATTAGAGTTAAGTAAATTTATAAATACACTGTTGTGTTGCTGAACATGTTTTTGAGATTTTTGCACAATAAAAAGCATTAATGCAAAAAAAACATGGAAATAAAACTGTACACATAAAGTTACGTTGACCTCGATAGTGTTAGAAAGTCGAAGCTACGAATACTGTCTGTTTAGACACAGTGGAATGATTACTACATTTTACATTTACACATATGAGAAACAAAAGCATATACTAAGAAAAAACGACTATGGTTTAAAATCATCTGAATTATATATATACGCTTACCAGAAGGCGTCATAAATGCAATCTCTAGTAAAGCAAAAAATATGCAAAACCGGCATGACTATTGCAAGTAATAAAATAAATATTCATTCTCTCTGTCACTTACGCAAAAATTTACGTATTCAAAACAATTGTTTTTCGTATTTATGAAGACCATGTACACCTCCTTCGACTTGTGCGCTTGCCGTCCGTTTTTCCAGTTTAACGTTTCCATTATAACTCTCTGAATGTAATTTGTCTAATGATGTATATCCTATATCTTGTAAAGATTTTTGTATGCCCGTATATAAGTAGCCTCCAATAAAACGATGTATTGAACCTTTATCAACGACACTTCCACTCACACCTTGTGCTACTTTAACATGATCTGTTTCAGAATAATACCGACTAGCAGCGGAAGACTGTGTACAGACATTCATGGCTTCAAGTGAACCCATACCACGATATTTTTTCAATCTCACACCGTCCTGATAATAATAAGCACCGGGTGCTTCTTGTGTACCAGCAAGAAGGCTTCCCATCATCACAGTACTTGCACCTAATGCCAACGCTTTCACGATATGTCCTACACAACTAATACCACCGTCAGCGATTACTGGTACATCATAACGGCGAGCATATTCGGCTACTTTATACACAGCTGTTGCTTGTGCGCGTCCAACAGCCATCACCTGATAAATAGAAGAGGCGAAACTTTATCTAATAGTATAGTTCATATAGCAAAAATCCAAAAAGTAGGAAGGACAGTATGGTTCTGCAAGCCGTTTTGGTTGATTGGAAACCGAAAAATAGGATACGGAAATGTGACTGAAAACGTTTTTACAACAAGTTACTCCAATCCACTAATATCGCATAAGCAAATATAAGTGAGGTCGCAATTCAACCAGTCATCGTTCACCTTAAGGTATGCTTATTATGTGAAAGTCGCAGTATTGCTAGTATTTTTGCTTTAAATTCTAAATATGAAAAGATGGACTGACATGCTAAATTCTCTGAAAACTTTCCTTGTTTGCACTGTTTTACTACATAACACTTTTCATGCTCTATATAGTACTTGAATGGGTCGATACGTGGGGAAGTTTTGAAAACTGGCATTTTAATGTTTTAAATATTATGTAGCAGAATGTCGGAACTAAATGTATAGTTTTGTAGGGGGCTAAATTCTGCATTTTTTGATTATAAAAAGTACAAGCAAACAAATGAGAACCATAGATCAGAATGTTATTAATAAACTAAAAGCTTTGAAGAAAAAAGATAGAAAAACCAAATCTTTGTAAAATTTACTAAAAAAAAGGAAAATTTTTGAAAAAGTAGGTTCTATAGGATAATATCCCGAAAGTAGGACAAAATAGGACGCTTTTAGTCAAAAGCAGAATGTTGACGAAGCCTGTAATAGTGAATATTTTACTTACTTCTTGTGTAATACAAATAGAACCGCTACCCATACCAACTCTTAATGCATCTACTCCAGCATCGATTAAATTTTTAGCTTGTGCTTGGGTAACAACATTGCCACCTATAATCTGTACATCAGGATATTTTGATTTGATTGTTTTGATCATATTTATTTGATAAATTGAGTTTCCTTGAGATGAATCAAGAACAATAACATCAACACCAGCTTGGACTAACATATGTAAACGTTTTTCATCCTCTTTTCGAGTGCCAATGGCAGCACCCACTAACAATTGACGACTAAAAGAATAATTCGTTCAACAATATATTTTGTTGTTGAAAACACGTACCGATGATCTTTGGATGCCAACGGATAATCGCGATTTTTTTCTAAATCTGTACGCGCAATAAGAGAAACCAAATCGCCGTTTGAATTGACAATTGGAAGTTTACCTATAAAAATTAATAAAACTTTATTTCTTTCCACATAAAAATGAATAACTTAATTATACCTTTCTTACTACACTGCAGTATATGGTATGCATCTTTCAATGTTAAATCATTTTTGGCTGTAATCAATTCATTTATGGGTGTCATAACTTGTTCAACAAGTATTGTTGACCATTGATCTTTTGATAAAAAATCAATATCACGAAATGTAATTAGTCCAAGTAACTTGCTATTGATTTTTCCTGTTTTTGTTACTGGTATTCCTAAAAACGTGAGAAATAAAACTACATTTAAATAAAGTAAAATAAACAATATTATTTACCGGAAAACCCGTGACTCTGTTTAATCTCATAAACATCTGCCACGGTATTTGTTGGACTTAATACTAGTGGATCGGTTATAAATCCTTGTTCATATCGTTTCACGCGTCTTACTTCTGCTACCTGTAAGTCAATTGTGCAATTGTGATGGATAATTCCAATTCCTCCATTTAATGCCATTGCTTAAAGACAAAAACAAACAATAAACGTCAACTTTTTGATAAATATCAATATCGTGGAAAACTTACCAATAGCCATGTTAGATTCGGTCACTGTGTCCATTGGCGAACTGACAAATGGTGTTTTGATTGTCAATTTTTTCGTCAGCTTTGATGTCAAATCAACATTATCTGATGGAAAATCAATATAACCAGGCAATATAATAAAATCATTGTACGTTAAACCATCATTATTTTTGAAAAGCTCTGCTCTTGTTAAGCCGTCTGTATTCAGATCAGTTTGATTGTCGGGCATTTTATAATAAACAAAAGTTTTAATCTATAAACGAAAATGAACAGTCACTTTCTATTAAACTCTGTCAAACATAATGACAAAACGGCTACATTCAGAATAAAACTTTCAAAACACTAGGATTATTATATAGTTATTTGAAAAAATTCTGATGAAATGTAAATAAAAAGACAGCGTAATAGATTGTAAATATTTTTCCAGCACTTATGTAACCAATTGGTTTCCCTTTTTCTTTATTCTTTAACATAATTTCTGAAGTTAGATCTCAAACGAGATACTTTTTAATCAGTATATATTACCGAAAACTCACAATTACGTTGGATGTTGCATATGATGTTGTTTGATCTTACAAAGCCAATTATGATGGATTTGTATCTCTTTTGAGAAGATATAAGTTTTCGATTTATTCGTCACTATTTTCTACCATCTATAACTCACAGTAAAAATGTTTTCATTTTTCTCTATCAGCATTTTATTGACATCATTTTCTTCAAAACGAAGCTTATTATTTTTTTACTGCTTCGTTTTACTATAAGAATGTAAACAAAAAGAAGGCTAATTAAAATTACTCATAACAAAGGATTGCTTTATCCAAATATTTTAAAGAATAATTTCTTTACTTTCGAATTAAGAAATAATAGAAGCTAAAACCCATTTTGAACGTGATATATTAATAGACGAGATAAAGCCAGGAAAATTTTTTGTTGTAGATGAAATGATATTGGTTAAATTTTAAAATGAATAATATTTTGACGAGTAATTAAATAGCAGATTTTCTTCGCTATGAAAAAAACTACAATAACAATAGTCTTATGTGTGTTTATTTGCTAAATTTAAACATGTAGTCGATGTCAAAGCTGACTGGGAAATAATAGTCTTATCCGTAATACAAAACCATCTTTTGAAACTATCTATTTGAAATATGCAATGTTTCCGGTACAAAGGATAGCTTTAAAAAAAGTTTCATCAAAAGTGAATACAATTGTTTTTATTACGAGAAAAATAGAAACAAAATGCAAACGAAGTAGAAGGATTAGTGTGAACAAAACTCTTACAACAAAAGTTTCTCAAGAGAGCCTCAAGCCTCCTAAGTATTTTTAATTAATTGCTCGGTTCACAGGCAGCGATAGTACAGTAAGATCAAGCATGGAAAATTAGCTGTCAAATATACGCTTTTACAAAAAAATAACTGACACAGTTACAAGTTCTATACCCCCACTATTTCGGAAAACTACCTCTTGCTGTAATATTAAAGAAAAACAACATTAATGTGTAACAGTTCAAGTGCCATGATAAATACTGTAATATCATGAAAAAATGTCGCTGCTACGCTTTTAATATGACAACAATATCTGAAATACGTATGTTTTTTTTATGACGCATTGCTGAGACCACCTACCAAGTAGTGATAAACTTCTATTCAAGATTTGATTATTTCAAACAGTTTTTTTATGAATGTACGATAGAGTAACATTCATCTTTAAACAGTAAATCTTTTCTCACTATTTAGTTACCGCTTTAACTTGTCACGTCATCAAAAAGAATATTTTACTCTATAAATTAATCTAACAAATAAAGAGTTTCTTAATGTTCTCTAGGTGAAAGAATAGACAAGTGCACCAAATATAACAATATTCTAGCATTGAATGTTGATTTAAGCTTTTAATCTTGAACTAGAACGAAATCGAGAATATAGATTCCCATTATATCATTTTGAAACTTAAATTATCAAAATACAAAAGCAATCCTTGCACGAAGCTAGGATCGAACGAACGAACTGCAGCATTGACTGTTGTCTATAACAATCAAAAATTTAAAATCCAGTAATAGGCGATACACCGTAATGAACTCTAGCCGTTTTCTATTATTCATTATTTAGTAGTCTGAAAATATCAAAGCTGTTCAACTAAGACAAAACTTGATTAAATTATCTACCTTCTTTTTAGTAACTGTTTCTAAGATCAGCGTTGTAAATAAAAATAAAAAAAAGTTTCAGTTCTTTTTCCTCCATAACAGATGCTGATTTTCTCAATGTGAAATATAATCTTATGCTACTTATTGCAGAAGATGTCCTGGTTCTCGTTTGTTTGTTAGAATTCAAAAAGGATATTTTCCGTGTTGATAATTAGCCCACGTTCTTCGCTTTCTTTTCTAGTTTACACATTGACCTTCACATAAAGTATTCCTCATTTTTATACTGTCGAGTTTGAAAGCGCGTGTAAAAGAATGGTGCCCTATTTTGTTTCTAATGACTGGCATTGTTCTCATGACGGAAGGCATATATAATACGTGGCTGCACAAAGCAAAGTTCATTCATAATGAACTAAGTCTCCAAACTTCAATGTGTGTCAACAAAAAAGTTTCGTGCCTTTTCCTGATTCTTGTCAAAGTTGGAAGTCGAACTGATGTAAAACCGTTCGCTGTTTTTTTCATATGTTTTCTCATTAAACTTTGTTCTTACTGTAGAATAAATAAAAATAAGTTGCACTAAATTACCTTTCTGATTATAAATTAAAAAAATCTACTAAAGGGCGTAGAGTACTTGAGTTGTAAGTAACTTCGTTAAAACTAGGAAAGTACGTTTTAGAAAGCAGAGACAACAAAGATTCGACTCATTTTTATGTTAATTATCAAATCATGAATTACACAACATTTTGCTGGATTAAAAAAGTCTTTCAGGTGTCAGTGTTTAAATAATTTTGTTTGTAAAATTTCTACTCAAAATTCGATTTAATGGAAAGAAACAGCCCACTAATTTTTATCAAGAAACAAATTTATCTGTATGAAAAATATCGAGATCAACATCCAGTTTTGATTTTTTTGATATTCCATCATTCTGTACACTTTTAAATTTGACGACTGTATCCTTTTCCATGTTATTCTTGACGAGAGTTATATTACAGGAAAAAACAGGCGAACAGAAAACGGAAGATAATGTAGATAACTTATTGAAGCAGAATTCCACTGATCTGTCTGATTGTCTCATTTTTGCTCAATCATTTTATAGATTTGAACCTCACTAAGAGATCGTAACAAGCAAACTTTCTATTGGTCTTATTTGCTCCATTCTCGAAATGAAGCGAAGTCATTTGAACAGCACTGTAGCAATTTTTAGTAGAAATCTTTATCGTTTCATTGTAATTACCTGTAACTTCAATATATCTCAAATGTAAAACAAGAAATTAGTTAATCCCTCATACAGAGAAAAACCATCGAAATGGTAAAAATTGTTACAAGTTTTGAAATTTAAACTTGTATATTTCTGTACATTTTTAAGGTACATCAAGCATCTTTTCAAGAAAGATGGCCATCGATGAAGAAAGTTGTCCTGAAAATATTACGTCAAGAACCAACATCGCCATTGGAATGGCAAAATTTAATCTCGTATGTCCGTTTTTCTCTAATATCATTGATTCATTCACGTAAAGTATGAAATCAGCAAAGATCAAAAACAATGACCCTTGCCAAACAAATAACAGAATAAGAATAAAAAGTTAAAATAAGTAAAAAAGTTAAAAAAGTAAAAATAAAAAGATGTAAAGTAAATTAAAAAGCAAAC